AGAAAAGCATCTTTCCAACAAAGATGCATGCAGACTGAAAGTGAAAGGCTGGAAAAAGATATACCATGCCAACAGAAATGAAAAAAGAGCGGGCGTAGCCATCTTAATATCGGACAACATAAACTTTACCACAAAAACTGTTAAGAGAGACAAAGAAGGGCACTACATAATGATTAAGGGATCAATACAACAAGAAGATATAACAATTATCAATGTATATGCACCTAACTACAGGGCACCAGTTTATCTAAAAGATTTATTAACGGACTTAAAGGGAGACTTAGACCCCAATACAATAGTACTGGGGGACTTCAATACTCCACTCTCAGAAATAGACAGATCAATAGGACAGAAGATCAACAAGGATACAGTAGATTTAAACGACACTATAGCCCAAATGGATCTAACAGATATATACAGAACTTTCAATCCTACATCTGCAGACTTCACATTCTTCTCAGCAGTACATGGAACCTTCTCTAGGATTGACCACATACTAGGACATAAAGCAAGTCTCAGCAAATTCAAAAGAATTAGAATCATACCATGCAGCTTCTCAGACCATAAAGGAATGAAGTTGGAAATTAGCAACTCAGGAATCCCTAGAGCATACGCAAACACATGGAGATTGAACAACAGGCTCCTGAATGAACAATGGGTCATAGAAGAAATCAAAAGAGAAATCAAAAACTTTCTGGAAGTAAATGAGGATAACAGCACAACATACCAAAACTTTCGGGACACAGCAAAAGCAGTGTTAAGAGGAAAGTTTATATCAATAGGTGCCTACATCAAGAAATTGGAAAGGCACCAAATAGATGAGCTTTCAATTCACCTCAAGGATCTAGAAAACCTACAGCAAACCAGACCCAAATCTAGTAGGAGAAGAGAAATAATTAAAATCAGGGAAGAAATCAACAGGATTGAATCCAAAAAAACATTACAAAAAATCAGCCAAAAGAGGAGCTGGTTTTTTGAAAAAATAAACAAAATTGACACCCCATTGGCCCAACTAACTAAAAAAAGAAAAGACCCAAATCAATAAAATCAGAGATGAAAAAGGAAATGTAACAACAGACACCACAGAAATAAAAAGAATCATCAGAAATTACTACAAGGACTTGCATGCCAGCAACAAGGGAAACCTATCAGAAATGGATAGATTCCTGGACACATGCAACCTACCTACATTGAACCAGGAAGACATTGAAAACCTAAACAGACCCATAACTGAAACAGAAATTGAAACAGTAATAAAGGCCCTCCCAACAAAGAAAAGCCCAGGACCAGATGGATTCACTGCTGAATTCTACCAGACATTTAAGAAGAACTAACTCCAATTCTTCTCAAACTATTCAGAACAATCGAAGAAGAGGGAATCCTCCCAAATTCTTTTTATGAAACCAGCATCACCTTAATTCCTAAGCCGGAAAAAGATGCAGCATTGAAAGAGAATTACAGACCAATATCCCTGATGAACATAGATGCAAAAATCCTCAATAAAATTCTCGCCATTGGAATGCAACAACACATCAGAAAGATCATCCACCCAGACCAAGTGGGATTTATCCCTGGTATGCAGGATGGTTCAATGTGTGCAAAACAATCAATGTGATAGACCACATTAACAGACTGCAGAAGAAAAACCATATGATTATCTCAATAGATGCCGAGAAAGCATTTGATAAAATACAACACCCGTTCATGATGAAAACTCTAAGCAAACTGGGTATGGAAGGAACATTCCTCAATACAATCAAAGCAATCTATGAAAAACCCACAGCCAACATCCTATTGAATGGGGAAAAGTTGGAAGCATTTCCACTGAGATCTGGTACCAGACAGGGATGCCCACGCTCACCACTGCTATTCAATATAGTTCTGGAAGTTCTAGCCAGAGCTATTAGGCAAGAAAAAGAAATTAAAGGGATACAAATTGGGAAGGAAGAACTCAAACTATCCCTCTTTGCAGATGACATGATTCTGTATTTAGGGGACCCAAAGAACTCTACTAAGAGACCATTGGAACTCATAGAAGAGTTTGGCAAAGTAGCAGGGTATAAAATCAATGCACAAAAATCAACATCCTTTGTATACACAGGCAATGCCACGGCTGAGGAAGAACTTCTAAGGTCAATCCCATTCACAATAGCTACAAAAACAATCAAATACCTTGGAATAAACTTAACCAAGGACGTTAAAGATATCTACGATGAAAATTACAAAACCTTAAAGGAAGAAATAGAAGAGAATACCAAGAAATGGAAAAATCTTCCATGCTCATGGATTGGAAGAATTAATATCATCAAAATGTCCATTTTCCCAAAAGCAATTTATATATTCAATGCAATACCAATCAAGATACCAAAGACCTTCTTCTCAGATCTGGAAAAAATGATGCTGAAATTCCTGTGGAGACACAGGAGATCTCGAATAGCTAAAGCAATCTTTTACAACAAAAACAAAGCCGGAGGCATCACAATACCAGATTTCAGGACATACTACAGGGCAGTTGTTATCAAAACAGCATGGTACTGGTACAGAAACAGATGGATAGACAAATGGAACAGAATTGAAACACCAGAAATCAATCCAAACATCTACAGCCAACTCATATTTGAAATCAGATCCAAAACCAATTCCTGGAGTAAGGACAGTCTATTCAATAAATGGTGCTGGGAAAACTGGATTTCCACATGCAGGACCATGAAGCAAGACCCCTACCTTTCACCTTACACAAAAATTCACTCAACATGGATTAAAGACTTAAATCTACAATCCGACACCATCAAATTATTAGAGAGCATTGGAGGAACTCTGCAAGATATAGGTACTGGCAAAGACTTCTTGGAAAATACCTCAGAAGCACAGGCAGTCAAAGCCAAAATTAACATTTCGGATTGCATCAAATTGAGAATTTTCTGTATTGCAAAAGAAACAGTCAGGAAAGTGAAGAGGCAACTGACAGAATGGGAAAAAATATTTGCAAACTATGCAACAGATAAAGGGTTGATAACCAGAATCTACAAAGAAATCAATAAACTCCACAACATCAAAACAAACAACCCACTTAAGAGATGGGCCAAGGACCTCAATAGACATTTTTCAAAAGAGGAAATCCAAATGGCCAACAGACACATGAAAAAATGTTCAAGATCACTAGCAATCAGGGAAATGCAAATCAAAACCACAATGAGGTTTCACCTCACCCCAGTTAGAATGGCTCACATTCAGAAATCTATGAACAATAGATGCTGGAGAGGATGTGGGGAAAAGGGGACACTAACCCACTGTTGGTGGGAATGCAAACTGGTCAAGCCACTATGGAAGTCAGTCTGGAGATTCCTCAGAAAACTGAAAATAACCCTACCATACAACCCAGCCATCCCACTACTTGGAATTTACCCAAAGGAAATTAAATTAACAAATAAAAAAGCTGTCTGCACCTTCATGTTTATTGCAGCTCAATTCACATTAGCTAAGACCTGGAACCAACCCAAATGCCCATCAACAGTAGACTGGATAAAGAAATTATGGGACATGTACTCTATAGAATACTATACAGCAGTCAAAAACAATGAAATCCGGTCATTTGCAACAAGATGGAGGAATCTGGAAAACATCATGCTGAGTGAACTAAGCCAGTCCCAAAGGGACAAATATCATATGTTCTCCCTGATCGGTAACAGCTAACCGAGCACCAAAAAGGAAACCTTTTGAAGTGAAATGAACACTATGAGAAATGGTGATTTGACCAGCCCTTGCCCTGACTGTTGATGAACAACTTAATATGTTAAGGTTTTTAAACATGAAAAAATAAAAGACAAATCTGCATTTAAAAAAATTAGTTAGGTGTGGTTTGGAGACTAGATAGGAAGAAGCAAGACTGAGGCAGGGAAATCAGCTCTGGAGGTTTTGTGATAATCTGGTTGAGGAATAATACTAGTTTATACAGGCTAGTAGCGACAACAATACAAATAGCTGAGTGTGGGAGAGAGTTGGGAGGTATAATTTACCGAATTTGATGACTTGTTACATATAAAGGATAAAGGAGATTGAATAATGATACCATTTACCACATTTTTCTTTTCCATACTGTCTGTTAGTGCTATGGAGGATTAATATTCATAGAACGCATTATAGGAAAAGCTGGCCTACAAAACAGCCCTACTGAATGTGTCAGTATCATAGACCATGAAAAATTATAAGTATATATTATAGAAAGAGTTCCACTGGTCATACTCCTTTTAGCAAATGTTTCTAGAGGTGACCTGTGTGGGGTCTTGTGAACATATTACCAGAATCAGCTCTGAACATTGGACTCAGACAACATCAATTTTCATGATAAAAGCTAAAGCTATCAGGCAACTTCAAAAATTTCATAGTGGGCAAGTGTTTGCCCTGGCAGCTAGGGAGTCAGAGTAGAACACCCACATCCCACATCAGAGTGCCTAGGGTCAACTCCTGATTCCAACATCTTGCTGATGCAGACTCTCACAGGCCACAGTGACAGATCACATAATTGGATTCCTGCCACACAAGTCAAAGACCTGGATTGAATTCCTGCCCCCCAGCTTTATCCCTGACTCAGCTGGAGTCATTGCAGACATTGGAGGACGGAAGAGAACCAGTGGACAGAAGCTAATTTTCTCTCCCTCCCTCTCACTTTCTCTCTACCTCTCAAATAATAATATAAAAAACTATTTTTAAGTATATGGAAAATAGAATTAAATATATGCATTCATTTTGGTGCAATTTTTCTCATATTATGTGAAAGAGTATAATATGAGAAAATTATGCATGGATTTCAAAAAGTTTTTGTATCAGAATAAATTCATGCTTTTAATTCCACTTTCTTATAAATCTCTTGAAGTACCTTCATATTACACTTTATCTTAGCCAAAAGGCTGAGAAGCAATTGAAGTACCTTCATATTAGGCACAGTGGATCTAATCTTCAGTATACTTTTTCTCTATCATTGTGTTTGAGGGCCTGCTTACCTGTGGAAAAGGTTCCATTCTTCTTTGCTAAGATAGGAAATATTTCTAGTTCTGGTGGTCATGTGGGTCAGGGCATCACAGGGAACATGTTGAGGCCTCTCGCAGTAGAAGGCTTCTTGGTCTCGGGCATCCAGGTACTGGCAGAGTTCATTGCTTGTATTTAGGGTCAGGCCACATTCAGAGAAGACCTGGGAGGTGCCATTAGCAAACTGGCCCACAAAGATCACCCTATCATAGCCTTGGTTCCTTGCCCTCCAGAGAGCTGATGCCCCTTCACTGGGGTGGATGAGCAGAACAGACAGGGAGACCCGGCCCTCCCAGAACAGAGTGAAGCTGACAAGGTAGGTACCATTGTTGAAGTCGGTCACCTTTCCTGAGGCTCCCGCCTTCAGGGCTGGAGAGAACATCCTGGCCCTCAGGAAATCCCCACCATATTCCTTCCGGCGTCCCAAGTGGTCCCTCACCTCCAGCAAGACTTCCAGCTGGTCCCCCACGCAGTACTTGTCTCGTGGGTTGAGGATGGTGGCTGTGCTGTGTGTGGCACTGGTGGTGGTGTTCACGTGGGTGAAAGGTCTGGGTGGGATCAGCCGATCCAGTTTCTCCAGGATTTCCTTTACTCTCAGCTCAGTCTCTGTTGCTGGAACCACTGGATTCAGTAGTGCTTCCGAGAGTGAGAAATACTCCATTGAAGATGGAGAAATGCTCCATTTGAAGATACTCCATTGGATTAAAGGGGCAGGGTTTCTCAAGCTGAAGAAGAGCTGAAGTATGGAAGAGAAAAAGCATAGCATCAGCAAATAATAAGGCTTGCTTTCAATACAAATTATTATGGTTCATTTCACATCTCAGTGGGATGAAATTACATATCAAAAATCAATTGTAACTATTTTTCAGTTATGGAATCACTAAAATCAATTTCCATATAGTGTGATCTCCCCTGCTGTTAGTAGATGGCTTTGTTGGGGAGGCCTGGCTTAAAAATTAACTCAATAAGGGTCGGCGTTGTGGCGTAGTAGATAAGAACACTGCCTGCAACACTAGCATCCCATATGGATGCCAGTTCATGTCCTGGCTGCTCCCGTTTCCATCCAGCTCCATGCTGGATAGTCCAAGTAATTGGGCCCATGCCACCCACATAGGAGTCCCAGATGAAGCACCTGACTCCTGACTTCATGGCAGCCATTTGGGGAGTGAACCAGCGTATGGGAGATCTCTCTTTCTCTCTGTCTCTTCCTCTCTCTGTGACTCTGACTTTCAAATACATTTTTTTAAAACTTGATATGATTTGATTCATGATTGAATTTTAATTTTTTATGATTGAATTTTAATTTTTTTCCTTTCATTCCCTCACTTATCTTTTCTTTATAAAATCATTTAATATATATTGGAAGCCAGAGCCAGAGCAAGTTTTTAAATATGACTGTACCTAACTTTTATTTGTTTTATTGCATATTTGATTTATTATGTCCATTCTTTCTCCTCCCATGTATATATCATGTGTAATTTTAGTCATACTAAATATAGTGTTAACACTTTTTAGCAGTTAATATCACATACTATAACTATGTTGTTGTTGTCATTTACTTATTATGATCATTATTTTTCAGTTGCTTATATAACCTGGATTGTGTAGCCAACAATATTGTACAATTGAACTGTATCTATTTGTTTTCATTTTACAGAACATTGAGATATTTTCCAACTTTATATAGATAAGATTACATATTTATAATAGATTTCTCATGATAGAATTACCAGATCACTTATTATCGTGTTAAGTACCAATCAGTTCAAAAGATAACATTTTTCTTCATGTTGATTATCAAAGATATTCTCAAAATAAGAGTGTTTAGACAGGGCCAGAGCTGTAGTGTAATAGGTTAAGCCTCTGCCTGCGGCACCAGCTTCCCATTTTTGCACCGGTTTGAGACCCAACTACTCCACTTCTGATCCAACTCCCTGCTGATAACATGGGAAAGCATTGGAGGATAACCCAAGAGTTGGGCCCCTGTACCTGTGTGGGAGACCTAGAAGAATTCCCTGGCTCCCAGCTTTGAATTGGCCCAACTCTGGCCATTGAACAGAAAATCTTGAAGCCCAAGTATATGAATGCTATTTCCTTTGTCATTAACTGCTGTCAAAATTTCTTCTGTAATAAGATATTTGGCTATGTGAAAGAAAAGATATAGCATCATGTATGTCATACTCTAATAATTAGATCAGTGGAAAACTTTTACAAATCTTGATGACTTTGTGATCCCAAGATGGCAGAATGGGGAACAGCAAACTACTCTAGGCAAGGTATAAATAGTACACACACAAAAAAAAGTGTAGGAAGTACGTTCTCAGGGGAAACGTAGAAAATCACAGTGGAAATTCTACCAAAGGAAGAGGAATGCCATGAATGTGGAAGGTGCAGACATGCAACAGGAACACAGACACAACACACAACCCCAGCACCTGAGAGCCAGAGAAAGTGCCAGCTTTGGAGACTAAGGTGAGATTAGCCTACAGCACCCATGCCACTGGTGATATAGCCAGAGGGAGAGAAAGGTGTGAGTCCAGCCTGGAGCCCTAAAGGGGAAAAGGGTACCTGCTGACCCAGTAAAAAGGGGAGGGGGCACGTTTCTCTCACCTCACCCATCCCCCCACAGCAGTGCCCAGCAACCAGCTGAGAGGGTGGACACCATTTGGGGCATAAGAGGCTGTTGCAGAAGTTCTTGTGCATGTGCACAGAAACTGGCTGAGACAAGATGCTGTCTTCTCAGCAGTACTGGTGGCAGCAGCTCCAGTGCATGCAGCCAGCAACTGTTGGGGAGAAGGCTACATTAAGCCAGCAACTTTTGTTGCATGAGTGTGATCCAGGGATTATAGCAAAGGGGAAAATCTGTGTTCCCCACTGATAGGGCCTGGGACATGCACGACTTTGATGCAGACCCTGCCGCTCAACATTCCGCAGACTGGGACTCAAACTGCCTCGGTGGAGCACACTCATGCAGCTGGCCTAGGACTGTCTCTGCCTCTCTGTGGATGGGACAGGCTAGTGGGGCAGAGACGATCTTCTGCAACCCATGATTGTGGGAGCCTTGTGGGCTGAGATTGTGGAAATTTTGTGATGGCACAAGAGGGCATGGGGCAATGACTATAGGCGACTCCACATAATCAGAGCTCCCTGATTGCCTAGGAGGGATAATTGCAGCGGGATTCTTCACACTGAAGAATGCACAGATCCTTTGTAGAGTTCATGAGGAATCACAGATGAGTGTTACACTCACTGAGGGCTAATACCCAGGCATTGATATCCTTGGAAAAGGAGGTGAGGGTGTGATTGTGCCAACGGAAGTGACCCTAGCCCCCTTCGGTTAACAAGAAGAGATCTACCACATCCAACTTGGGTGTCACCCTTGATACTCTTACCACCTTGGAGCACTGACCAGAGTTCCCTGGCCAAACCCAGCATAAACCTCTGGGAATTCATTGAAAGAGCAGATATTTCACTAAGCCACAGAAGCATATAGTTCAAAGATAGAATCCATCAGAGGGAAAAAACCACAGGTATCTTCACAAATGCCTATAAATAAATGCAGAAATTCAAGAATAAGGAAGACAGCATGAACCCCTCAAAGGAACACAACAGTACTTCAATATTAAAATGTGAAGATGAAGAGATTGATGAAATGCTTGAAATGGAATTCAAAATTGACACACCATTGAGCCAACTAACCAAAAAAGAGGGAGAAGACCCAAATCACTAAAATCAGAGATGAAAAAGTAAATGCAACAACAGATACCACAGAAATAAAAAGAATCATCAGGAATTACTACATAGAATAATTTGGGAAAACTAGAAGAAATGGATAAATTCCTAGAAACGTACGATGTACCAAAATTGGGCCATAAACACATAGAACAGCTAAAGAGACCAAGAACCAAGCACAGATTGAATCAGTAATAGAGATACTCCCAACAAAGAAAAGCGCAGATCCCAATGGCTTCACTGCTGAATTCTACCAGCCATTTAAAGAACTGATTCCAATTCTTCTCAAGCTACTCAAAAATATTGGAGGGGGGGGACCCTTCAAAAATCCTTCTATGAAATCAGCATTTCTTTAATTTTAAAACCAGGAAAAGAAACATCAGGGCCAGTGCTGTGACAGAGCAGGTAAAGTTGCTGCCTGCAGTGCCAGCATTCCATGTGGGTGCTGGTTTGTGTCCCAGCTGCTCAACTTCTGAGACAGTTCTCTGAAATGGTCTGGGACAGCAGTAGAAGATGGCTCAAGTCCTGGGGCCCCTGCACCCACGTGGGAGACCCGGAAGAAGCTCCTGGCTCCTGGCTTTGGATTGGCAGCTGTTGCGGCCAGTTGGGGAGTGAACCACCAGATGGAAGACCTCTCTCTCTCTCTCTCTCTCCTTCCCTCCCTCCTTCCCTCTACTTCTCTCTCTGTTTAACTCTTTCAAATAAATAAATAAATCTTTTTTTTTTAGAAAAAAGAAACAACAGAGAAAGAACTATAGACCAATTTCCCTGATGAACATAAATTCCAAAATCCTCAACAAAATTCTAGCCAATGGAATACAACAATACACCAGAAAGAACATCCACCTGACCAAGTGGGATTAATCTCTGATATGCAGGGATGGCTCAACATCCGCAAATCAATAAATGTGACAAATGGAAGAACAAACCACATTATTATCTTGATAGATGCAGAGAAAGCATTTGATAAAATACAACATTCTTTCATTAAGAAAACTTTAATTAAATTGGGTATACAAGGAACATTCCTCAACATAATCAAGGAAATGCATGGCAAGCCCACAACCAACATCTTATTGAATGGGAAAAAATTGGAGGCATTCACACTAACATCTCGAACCAGGCAAGGATGCTCACTCTCAACATTGATATTCAGTATAGTCCTGGGTCTGGCGCTGTGGCGCAGTGGGTTAAAGCCCTGGCCTGAAGCGCCAGCATCCTATATGGGTGCTGGTTCTAGTCCTGGCTGCTTTCTTCCAACCTATCTCTCTGTTATGGCCAGAGATAGCGGTAGAAGATGGCACAAGTCCTTGGGTCCCTGCATCCACATGGGAGACCCGGAGGAAGCTCCTTGCTCCTGGCTTCAGATCAGCACAGCTCCAGCCATTGTAGCCATCTAGGGAGTGAACCAGTGGATGGAAGACCTCTCTCCGTCTCTACCTCTCTCTGTAACTCTGTCTTTTAAATAAATAAAATAAATCTTTAAAAAATACATAGTCCTGGAAGTTTTAACCAGAGCCATTAGACAAGAAAAATAAATCAAATGGATACAAATTGGGAAGAAGGAAGTCAAACTATCCCTATTTGCAGATGACATGATTCTATAGGGGATTCAAAAGACCACTAAGAGACTATTGGAATTCATAAAAGAGTTTGGTAAAGTTGCAGGATATAAAATTAACACACAAAACTTAGTAGCTTTTTATACACAGACAATCCCAGAGCTGAGAAAGACCTCTAAGATCAATCCTATTCACAATAGCCACAAAAAAATTAAATACCTAGGCATAAATTTAACCAAGGATGTCAATAATCTTTGCAATGAACATTGTAAAACATTAAATAAAGAAATAGAAAACATAAAAAGTGGAAAAATCTTCCAGGTTCATGGTTTGGAAGAATCAAAATCATCAAAATGTGCATACTACCAAAAGCAATGTATAAATGCAATGAAATCCCAATCAAAACTGGAAAATTTGGGGAAATGATGTTAAAATTTATATG